GGCCCTTATGCAGAAATAACTACATCTCTTTCTGAAGGATCCACGTTTTCCACAACTATCAAAGGCTTTCCCACACCGACTTTTGCTACCGACTCTTCTCATAGCACAGAAACGTCAACTCCTGCTTCCCCATCTAGCCCCAGTGAAGCCTTTTCCACCTCAGTGGTTTCAGAACAAACAGAGGCAACTCTCACAGAGCAACCAACTTGGTATACCACCCTTTCTGCTGTGTCTGAATCAACAACTTCTGTTGACACCTCTCATACCCCTCTCATTGGAAGTTCTATATCCCCTTTAAGCCCTGGAGAACCATCTACCAGCTCAGCTTTCTCAGGAGAGACAGCCAGTACATTCACTTTGGAATCCACAGACTACAGCATCATCTCTGATACTTTGCAGCCCACAATTTCATCTAGTACCTCCTCTCTCAAAGATGATGGAAGTCCTGCATCCACATCAATTCCTGGTGAATCTGTTACCACTTCCAGCCCTTTTGGCAATATGATCACATCTCTTCCTCAAGAATCCACTTTTCTCGCAACCACCAAAGATGTTTCCACACCAACAATTGCTATTGATTCTTACAGCACAGGAACTGCAAGCCCTGCCTCCCTATCCAGCCCAGCTTCATCAAACACAACAGTGTCATCTGACATTTCCCACACCACAGTCCCCGGTGCTTCTTCTTCAGCTTCAGCTATCCCTGGGTTCCCTTCCAGGCCAGTGTCTGATTCTTCTTCGGCCATTCCAACTTCTGGTTTTGCTCTTCCTCCGTCCTCCACTTCATCTCACTCTAGCCATTCTCCAGTCTCTGGATTCAATACCACTTCAACTCTCCGTCAGCTATTCACTAGTACATACACGACTCTGATGACGACACACTCTCCAACTGCAACACCAGGTAAGTCTCGTATGTCGCTCTACGGGCCTTTCCCACTCCTCTTCCCTCAGCAGCTGAATCCACTTTGACCTATTTGTGGTCTTCTTGTTTCACCTGTCCAGCTCTCTAGTCACCAATGTACGTCACGCATGTTGGTGGATGTTGTCCTCTTTTGAGGTGTAAGGCTCTCTTTTTTCTTTACTTGTCCTCTATTATCTTTTGTATCCTTACTCTCTGTTGTCCCTCTTCACATCTCCCTTCCCTGAGCTTACCTCCTCCTTTCCCCACTATCTCCTAGGGATTGGGGCGGGGCAGAGGGATCTCAGCCAGATGCGTGAGCATCTGGTCCCATCTCCCTCTTTCAGTGCAAGATGGGACCCGGAATGGGAGCTAGTGCTTTTGTCTCTCAGGCTTCCTTGGTGACCACTGTGAATTCTACCCTTCCACAGGGCTGTGTGAGAATGGAGCCACCTGGGACGGAATAAAGTGTGTCTGTCAAACAGGCTTCTTTGGTTACCGGTGCCAGGCCCTCTTAGACTCCATCACCATAGGTAATGGCCTTTTTCTGAGACCTGCAAATCTTCCCCAGACCCCTTAGCCATCTAAAATAGGATGGCAATGCTGGAAAGGATGGCCCACTACCAGGCCCCCCCCCCCCCACGCCCTCATTTTGCTAGGAGAGAAGATAATGTGACTTTTGCCCCAGGCCACACGGCGGTTAGAACACGGCCCTGCTGGCTCCCTCGTAAGGGCCCTTTGCACTAGCTCATCTGCCCCCCTCATCAGGGCGTCTCTATTCCAATCCTTTCTGGAGCCCTCACTTTAACTCTCTCTGGGTCCTGATCCTGGCCACTAGCTCCTTATGTTACTCAGAGACAAGGGGCAGAAGTCTCAGCGATCCCACCTGCCTCTGGAATTTTCAACCTCCCTCCTTCCCATTTCCTCTGCCTCCATGAGACCAACAGAGAAGTAAGTACCCAACTCCTGAAGACGTTACCGAGAGATTGCTGTCTCACGCAAAATGTGGCCTGTTTCCACAGACACCCCGGAGACAGTCAATGCCACTGTAGATGTGCTAGTGAAAGTGACTTACAGGAATTTCACAAAAGACCTGGAAAACACATCCTCCAAGGCATACCGGGATTTCACGGAACTCTTCAAGAAACGGGTAAAGCAGGGGAAGCCCAGATTCCTCAGGACAGTGGCGTCATTAGGGCTGGTGTCACCCAATACGATAACTCATGGCGTCACCCCCCACCCCCACCCCGACCTCTTCCCTTACGAGACCGTAGAGAATCCGACCAGGCCCCCGGGGGTCCCCGGGCCCGCCGCCTTCAAGCGATCCTGCGCAGTGCGCGCCACCGCCTGGGCCCAGTGGGCGCGCAGCCTGCCTGCCGCCCCGCCCCCGGCGCCCGTTGGCCACCTCCCCCAGCACAAGCACCTGGCACAGCTGCGCCACCCCGCCCGCGCTCACGCCCAACCGAGGGCTCGCCAGCATCTCGCGCACCAGCTCTCACAGCTCACACTGCACAGAAGTTTTATAGTCGTTTTGCTGTCACCCCCTCTGACAGCGTCACCTGGTGCAGTCCGCATCCCCTATACCCCTTCGTGACGCCACCGGCCAGGGAGGATGTCGGATGTGAAGGTGTGCGGGGTCTCATCCTGACTGACTGATTTGAGCTTCCTGGCTCACAGGTCCCCTCAGTCTTCCCAAGTCCAGAGAGGTGGTCCTCTGAGAGGTGGTCATCCTTGAGCCCACCCTGCCCGAACCTGAGCAGAGAGGGCGTCCCCGTGCCTTCCCGTCCTTCTTCCTAGGGGCTGATTACATGGGTTCCATGGGAGGGACCCTGGCGCTGCCCCCAAGATAGGGAACAGGGTCACTGCAGGCTCCAGCCCTGTGCGAGGAAATAGCTCAGTTGCCTTGTTTCTTTCAGATGGATAAGGTTTACAAGGACCTTCCAGAGTATAGACACGTGAGCATTAGGAAACTGAGGTGCGTATGTGGGAGGGCAGATTTATAGATTGTGGGAAACCCCTCTCTCTGTCTTTGCTCTCTTGTCGCCTCCCAGGACGTACGGTTAGAATATCTGCCTAGCTGGGCCACAGGGGCCCCGAGCCCCGAGGCTACACCTGAAGTCCCTGAAACAATTTATTCACCATTCATTCACTCAACAAATATTTATTGAATTCCTACCCTATGCCAACCCTGTGCTGGGTGCTGGGAACACAGTAGTCTCTGCCTTCATGGAGCTTAAAGTGCAGGGCACAGATAAGCAAATTGGCTGTACAGTCTGGTTCAAGTTAGGGTAGGGAAGGCACAGGGTGCAATGGGAGGAGTCCCTAATGTAGGTGCTGGTGGGCTGGGGGGAATTCTTCCTGGAAGAGGTCACAGCTAAGCTGATCTTGAAGGATGAGGAGGAATGAGTCAGGGAAAGGGAAGGGAGCGGGAGAGTGTTACAGCAGAGGGAATAGAACCCAGAAGAAAGAGAGAGAAGGGCCCATTCCAGGAACTCAAAGATATTTAGAAGGGCTGGCTGCAGGAGGGAAAGGGGGTCATGATGGGAGAGAAAGCTGAAAGATGACCCATATCAAGTTATTTAGACTTTGGTGCATCAACAGTTTAAGCCCACGAGTGCTGTTATGTGAATGGATCAGCTTGGCTGCAGTACAGGAAAGGTGTTCCAGGAAAGAATCATGGACTGCACTAGCATTTCAGGGACAGGCAGGGGAAGCAGAGCCCCCAAAGGAGAGTGGACAGAAGCAGACAAAGGGGTGGCGAGGGACCTGGAGGGTGTGTGTCCCAGCAGCTGCGGAACAGAGAGCTTCAGGAAGAAGGGAGGCAGCACCATCAAGAGCCCTTGGCATGTTGGGGTTCGACTGGAAGTTTCCATAGCTCAGCATCATCCACCCCACCCTACCCCTGTCCAGTGTCCCAGTTCCATTTTGGCTCAGAGTTTTGTTGGTTCCAGTCCTCCTGAGTCCGGCTTCTGATTTCTTTCATGATGACTGTGACCAGCGACTTGCCTCCAGGTCTCTTTCCTCAGCAGCGTCACTAGCCATCTAATAAGAAGCTTCTGGGTTGGAAGCTGTGTTTCTAGTGACCTCATTCTTCTTCATTTTAATTTGATTTTTAAAACATAATCCGAGAAGATCTATTTCTAAATCAATGAATTTCACCCACTGGCATGGATTGTAATCACTGATATTCCAAGATCTTGAATCGTTTTGTTCAACTGGTGTCCTCGAGGTTGTTAACTGCTCTAGGGAAGGGTTTCTGTTCTTTTCTGCCTCTGGGCCATATGGCTCATCACCCCTCTTCCTCCTCCGGCCTCACTTGCTGGGAGGCTGGCAACGTGGGATAGCTAATGAGCCGACCATCTCCATTTCAGCAATGGCAGCATCATTGTGGAACACGACGTCATCCTCGAGACCAACTACACTTCAGATTTTCAGGACGTGTTTAAAAACCTCACTAAGATTGTAAAGGCCAAGATTATTAATGAAACCAAAAGTCTGTTGAATGCTGACAATTGCCAAGGTAGGGCCGCCTGAGAGCTGGAGGGGCCCTTCGGGAGGTCTCAGCCTCCTCCTCCCCTACTCACCTCGCTTATAGAACTCCAGAGACCTCTCTGTGGGAGCCTAGAAGCCAGGCCCAGGGTGCCTTCCCCACCCCTCCCACCCCCAGGCTGGGGTGGTCACCAGCACTGATCTCTCGCTGCGCCTCTGGGATGGGCCCCTGGTGGAGGGTGTGGTATAAAAGAAAGGGGGGGGGGCCTGGCTACACCCAGGGAGACAGAGGGCAACATCCCTTTTCTGTCCTTTCCCACCCACCCTTGGCAGGCACCGAAGTCCTGTGCTATGACGAGAAGGCCACGGTCGTGGCTGATACCCCACAACTGAGCTTTGACCCCCAGGGTAAGCAGCGTGTGGGCAGAGATGGAGGCAGCCGGTGGGTGGGGAGCACAGTGTGGGTGGTAAAGTGTGGGAGTCTGGTGTGCTTCAGTAAAGCTGATGCCTGCTCCTTGCTTCTCACCCTCAGAGCAGTGCATGAAGAATGTTGCGAAGGACTTTGCCCGGTTCTACTACGTGGATGAGCTGGAAGGGAAGCTGGCCTGTGTGACCAAATGTACTGCAGGGACGAAGACACAACTGAACTGTAACGAGGGTACCTGCCAACTGCAGAGAAGTGGCCCCCGCTGCCTGTGAGTGCCCGCCCCTCTGAGGCCAGCGCCCAAACTGTCTCGGAGGAAGGGAAGGGTGGGGTGGGCAGAGCTCAGAAGGTGCCCCCTCCCCCGCTCCTCTCCCCCACCTGTCTAGGTGTCCTCTTCCCCTCTACGTCCCTCTTTCCTCTCCCCAGTCTCCCACTCCCTGCCCCCCACCTCAGAGAGGAGTAGGCACAGATTCCTAGCTATGAACATCTTAGAACTGATTAACCCCTTCCTGAGAAATTTTGAGTTATCAATTTCCAAATCTATATCTATATCTATTTTTTTTTCTATATCTATATCATCAAGGAGCCCTGGTGGTGCAAATGGTTAAGCACTCAGCTGCTAACTGAAAGGTCGGCGGTTCAAACCCACCCGGTGGCTCCAAGGGAGAAAGACCTGGCAATCTGCTCCAGAAAAGATTATAGCCTAGAAAACCCTATCAGGCAGTTCTACTCCGTTACATGGGGTCACTATGAGTCAGAATCAACTCAGTGACACCTAACAACAATGACAACATTTAAATTATCAATTTCGCTTACGTCATCTCAGCCCTGGTGCCTTTATCACCTGTAGCTATACATAGCTCTAAGTTCAGGATACCATAAATCAAAGAACAAGATATGAAACACGATAACAGGCCTATCAAAGTGCCAGCTTCTTCGATATTAAATGGGCAAAACATTAGATGTCTCAGACAAGGCACCCAACACTCTCAGATCCCTCTGAGCCCCAGTCGTTCTGAGTCCTGTTCTGTAGCCCGCCTACCCATCACCCCCTCCTTCTCCACCACCTGTTAGCCTAAGGGGGTCAGAGACCCTGGCTCCCTGGGCATCCAGGGCCTTTCTTGAAGGGAGAGCTGGTTTCGTGTGCCTTGGGCATTTATTTTTTCTTTTGGGAGACGGGATGTGAGGGGTGGCCTGCCCCAAGCTTACGTGTGCCCCAGGTGCCCGAACACGAACACGTACTGGTACTGGGGACAGACCTGTGAGTGGAGTACTAGCAAGAGCCTGGTGTACGGGAGCATAGGTGCTGTGGCGGTGATACTGTTGATCGTGGTGGTTGCCTTGTCCATCTTCCTGGGCCTATCCCGGAGAAAACTGTACAGGTGAGCATCTGCACAGGTGAGCGTCTAGTGTCCTGGGGAAGGCAGCCAGCACTGCAGGCCCAGAGAGCAGGGATGCAGGCAGGGACCCCGGGAAGGCTAGCCTCAGTCTGAATATCCCGAGGATTATGGAAGGAGCCCCCATTTCAGGGAGCACCCAGGCCCCCCACCAGAACATGCCCTGAGAACCACACAGCACACAGGGAGGAACCAGAGAAGGAGAAACCACCAGAGACCGCCCCTCCTTGCCCATCTAGGCTTTCCATTCTTCACCCTCTTGCACACTCACAATAGGCTTGTTATCCCCAAGGTGCAGCACAGAGAGGGCAGGTAGCTACAGGGTCCCACAGCTGGCTCTGCTCCTTCCACACCACCAGGCAAAGAGGCCAGCTGCAGCTACATAGCAGTGCCCAGCCCCTCCCAGATCTGGAACAAGGGTAGACTTGCCATATAATGTGAGCTATCCATTTGGCAGAGAAATGGAAACAGAAACCTATACAATGAAGTGACAGTCACCACACCCTGTTCCCACCTGGCATTTGCTATCACATTAGCTATCACAGAGCAACACTCTCATACTAGGAAGCTGGCAATGAGCTGTCTGTGTCTCGCTTCCTTAGCTGTGAAATGGGGTACGCTCCACTAAGAAGATTGCCGTGAAGTGCCTGGCACAGTACCCACCCAGCAGGCAGGCAAAAGGAGCTGCCGTGACTCTAGCCCCATCTCACAGATAGGAGACTGAGGCCCGGGGGGAGAACCATGGGTCCAAGACCACGTCGGGGAGTGAAGGGCAGTGCCTGGCATGAGGACAGGCTGTGGTGCTGTGACTTTTCATTTTCTGCTGCTGTCTCAGATTCCTAGCCATGAACATCCTAGAGCTGATTAACCCCTTCCTGAGAAATTTTGAGTTATTGACTTCCAAATCTATAGCTATATCTATTTTTGTTTCTATTTCTATACCTATATCTATATCATCAAGGAGCCCTGGTGGTGCAAATGGTTAAGCACTCAGCTGCTAACTGAAAGGTCGGTGGTTCAAACCCACCCGGTGGCTCCAAGGGAGAAAGACCTGGCAATCTGCTCCAGAAAAGATTATAGCCTAGAAAACCCTATCAGGCAGTTCTACTCTGTTACATGGGGTCACTATGAGTCAGAATCAACTCAGTGACACCTAACAGCAACGACAACATTAAATCATCAATTTCGTTTACGTCATCTCACCGCGGTGCCATTATCACCTGTAGCTATACATAGCTCTAAGTTCGGGATACCATAAATCAAAGAACAAGATATGAAACACGATAACAGGCCTATCAAAGTGCCAGCTTCTTAGATATTAAACAGGCAAAACATAAGGTGTCTCAGACAAGGCACCCAACACTCCCAGATCCTTCTGAGCCCCAGTCATTCTGAGTCCTGTTCTGCAGCTCGCCTACCCGTCACCCCCTCCTTCTCCACCACCTGTTTAGCCTAAGGGGGTCAGAGACCCCGGCTCCCTGGGCGTCCAGTGCCTCTCTTGAAGGGAGAGCTGGTTTCAGTGACAGTCCCCTCAAGGAAGCCCTGCCTGCTGTTCCCGAATGCAGAGGGCCAGGGCCCTCTGGACTCCCCTCCGTCTCCTTGCCACCGGCTGGCAGGACTCATGACATTTCTACTGCAGGCCGGAGTACAATCTGTCTCGAGAGTGGCAAGCAGAAGAAATCCCTGGAAGTTTCCAGAACAGAGGCATTTGGGAAGGTACCTTGTATCAGGAGCGAGGGTGGGGGCAGAGCTGGAGAGTGGGGAAAGGGAGGGAAGGTGCCCTGGCCCTAACTGTGGGTGACACAGGCATCCTGGCCTCCCTCATACACTGTTGCTTCAGTGTGTAACCCCCCTGATGTGCTGTGGCCATGGGGGTGACACGGGCATCCTGCCAGCCCAACCCACACCTGCTTCTGCAGCTGAGTTTGTACCCCTCTCTGCTGAGCTGCTTCTGGTGGCTCCCAGGGCTGACAGGGCATCCTCCAAGTTCTGCCGTCTCCTGGTCCAGCCCCCCTACAAGCAGCCCCTGCTGGCCTTCCAGTCTTGTCTCCTGCTCCTCCCCTTCGACAGGAAAGAGGAGGGTGCCCTGGAGCCACTGTGAAGGGTGGGCAGAAAGATGGTCAGGAGGTGCAGGGAGAGCCTGGAGCCAGGGCCCTGGAGGCCGAGGAGGAGGATGTGTGGGAGTGGGGTCAGCACTGAGGCCAGTTAGGACTGAGACAGGGCAAAGCTGGCTGCTGTGGTTACCGTTGCTATGGGGGAGCTACAGCTGAGTGAGCGGCCCTTCCTCCTGCCCCCTGGCCCCAGACAGCCCCACCCTGGCCACACCAAGGCCCTTCCTCCTGTCCCCTGACCCCAGGCAGCCCCTCCTCAGCTACAGCGGGCCTGCTGGCAGCTGGCCGTGACTTTTGACCTTGATGCTGCTCTGGTCCCCTCAGGCAGCTTCCTCTGCATCTGGGCCTCACTGGCCAGCTCCCTACGTACGCTTAGGGCAGTCAAGGCCCCATAAATGAGGCTTAATGGCGGAAGGACTGACAGTAGAAACATCGTTTAGGGAGATACTAGACTGACTCTTCAAACCTGTTCCTTTTACTGGAAAAAAAATCTCCCCCGCCCCGTGCCTCCCCAGCCTCCTCCAGGCCGCCTTCTCACCCCAGTGCATCTTGGTACAGGTAAGAATCTGAAAGAGGACAGATTTGGTCTTGGATCCACCTACAGCCACTTCCAGCCCTCCCTGGAGAACATGGACCCCAACATAGAGGTGACTCAGGGCCTGCCCTCAGGAGCTGTCCCTTCCCCACGACTCCCACCCTCCACCCCTCCCAGGGCGGGGTGGGGGTTGCTGCCTGGAGAGGGCAGGACACACTCAGCCACTTGGCCGGTCACTTCCTGTCCTTACACCAGAGATGGGCCCCTCAACTCCAGAGGCAGCATTAGAACTGGCAGACCGGCCATCACACAAAGCCCCCTTGGCCTCACCCTTGTCTCTCCCACTCCCCAGCTCCACATTCAGAGGCCGAAGGTGATAACAGCAGCTCAGTGAGCATGACAGTTCACCTAGATGTGGCAGATGAGACGGCAGCAAGCAAAGAGCCCCCCAGACCTCCCTCTCCCCACTGGGGCTGGTCAAGAGGAAACTGGAGTCAGAAGCCAAAGCGGGGTTGGAGTCCCCTCGGAGCTGGCCTCTGTGTCTGTCCCTGCCAGGCACCTGCTGGGGAGGTGGATGGGGGCTATGATCCAGCCCTCTGCCATAGCCCATCTACCCAGGAGCCACAGGTGACTCCCCAGTCTGGAATTTCCCATTAAAATAAAGCAACCTTAAAGTGCAGAGTCTGCTGTGAGAGCTTTCCTTCCCCGCCCCCTGCAAGGGCCTGGCTCAGCGCCTGGTGCCTTCCCAGATAGAACACTCCTGCCAAGGGTGGGTGTTGAATCTGAGTTTGGGGCACCTGCCCCCTTCCTGTGCCCACAGGCAGAGTCCCTGGCCTGCTGCGGGCCAGGCAGCCTCGCCCCACTTCTGCCCAATGTCTCTGCGGCAGATGAGCCTCAGTCCAGGGCCTGGGTGGGGAGCAGACCTCAGATTAAATGGAGGTGAGAGCTCCCAGGGGGGAAAAGAGTGAGTCCTTGGCTCTGCTGACCTCGAAGTGGGGCCAAGGCCACTCCAGATGGCCACAGGGGCCCAGTGTTCACCTCCGGGCCCACAGATCCAAGAACTCCCAGCCATCCTCGGGCTGCTCCCCACGTTCTGGTGGGGTGCTCATGGGGGAGTAAAGAGGCCTTGGGAAGAGGGATGAACGGAAGAGTCTCCTCTCCAGGGACTGGGGTGGAACACAGGGAGGCCCACTTCTGTCTCCCTCAGGCCTGACCTCCTCCATCAGTCCACCTCCCACCTCCCTCCAGGGGTCTTCTCGTTGCTCACTCAGGCTGCCTCAGGAGCCTACCCTCTGCCCCTTGGCTAGGTGATAAATCTTCATCTTGAGCACCTTTGGGCTGCTGCCCGAGGAGGGGAGCCCCCTCCCTCTGCCCTTTGGCCTGGGACAGGCTGCACGTCCAGTCATAAGAGCAAGCTCCCAGACTGACTCAGATTTGGACCAGCCTCCAGGTTCCCCAGAATCTCAGGGGTCAAAGGGCTCCTGGGGCCCATTTATTTCTGGGGTTCCTTGGCTGACTCTTATTTTGCCAGCTCCCGTGAGGGTGAAAGGCAGGCACACAGCTCTCCAAGCTCTGATGTCACGGCTGGTGACAATAGCTCTCTGCCTGCTGCCCCTTGTCCTCCAGTTCCTGCCCACTCATGCCACTACTACCTCGAATGGTGAGTGACCCCTTCCCCATCCACCTTGGGCTACTTCCAGGGAGGGATGCTTCGGCACAGGTCGGCGATCCCCTCTATGCCCTGTACACCTCTCCTCACCCCTCCCAGCATAGTTTGGAAAAAAGCCAGGGCTTTGGGGCCAACCGATCAGCTCCTGTCTTGACTCCACCACTCTCTGCCTTGAACCTCCTTTCCTGAAAGTAAGAATCATGATGCCTATCTGTCAGGGTTGCTGCCAGGGTTGAACAGCATCGCCTGGACGCCACCCAGTATCTGTCTTTGCCCGGTGGACACTCGCGTCCAGCTGCTCTCACCTCCCACCCCTTCACCAACATCCTGCTCAAGAGCCCGGGGCTTCCTCACAGCACACAAGACCAATGGCTTAAACCTCCAATTACTCTGTCTTCTGCTGGCCGTTTCTGAGTCCCCCCCATCCCACCTCATGCCCCGAGGTTGTCACAGGGCTGCCAGGCATCCCAGAGCCAGGAATTGGGCCATTGCTATAGCCAAGCAAACACAAGATAGCATTTCCGGAGCCCCTGATTCTAATCCTGCCACCAACCAGCTGTGTACTTTTGAGCAACTCAGCTCCTCTGGAACCTGTTTCTCCCGCTCTTAAAAGCCAGGGATTGGGCTCCTTCCAACTTGCTGTTTGGAGTCCATGGCTGTAGAAGATCAGCTCAGATCAGCAGGTGATGGCAATGGGTACCTGGTTGGACCCTCCAGATACCCCGTCTGCCCCTCATCTCCTCCTGGCCTCAGAGAAAGAGGGAGAGGAATCGAGATGTCATCCCTGGGGCCCCCTGGACAGGGACGGAAGGGGAATTAAGAGGCAGAGCCCAGGGTTCTCTTGCCCTACCGTGTAGATGTTATCTAAGCCTGCATGCCCTGGACTTCGTCCTGCCCTGAATTCATGGCGCCAGAAGCAGTGGGATCTCCTGGCTCCCTGGCCCCAGTCCCTGACTGGCTTTTCTCCAATGTGGGGGAAGAGGCAGTGGTGGAGAAACTACACCTGAGCATAACCTTGGACTTGGGGCCCCCTTGCCTCAAACCTACAGTTGTAGGAGGCCAACTGGAGGGTGGATTGGGTTATGACAGAATGGATGGATACGGGAAGGGAGGCTGACTCAGGGTGGGGGCGGTGGCTTAGACTTGCTCTAGAGGGCTAGCTCCATGACCTGAGTCCCACCGTTTCCCTGCACAGACTCTTGATAAGATGTTGAGCGTTTGTCTTACTAGTAATGGTAATAACACCTCCTTACCAGGCACTTTCTATGCCTTCCAGACCCTTAGTAATGTATGTCGAATGGAACATTTAGGCATTGTAGTAGGGGAGGATCTTCCCGGGTCCTCTCACCCCTCTACCCCATTCCATCCTCTCCTTTCTTTTTCCCTTCCTCTTTCTCTATCCTTCTACCCCTTTGCCTCTCTCCCCTTTCTTCTTCTTCCCACCTCTTCCTTCTCCCCCTCTTGCCCTCTTCCCACATTCTGATTGGTGTGGCTCATTTCATCTCTAGCCTCAGTCTCCCTCTCCGTAAAATGGAAGGTTTCCAACTCTCTACTCCTGCTCTATGATTCTGTGGTCACCCCCTCCCCTCTGGGCCTGGCCTTCACTGGTCTGTAGGGTCATGGCCAACCTTGAGGGGCATCTGACCCTTCCATGTCCTCTCTGTGGGGACCCAGAGCTCCACCCCTCCTTGGGGCTATGGAGCTGGGGATGCCAGGATGGGAGTGGGCCTGGAGGAAGAGCCTAGTGGCCTTGGCACTATCCCTTCCTGGCAGACACACCCTCCACTTGCTGCTGCACCTTCTTCCAGCAAACCCCAATTATATAACATACCAGTGACACAATGTCCTCTTGGCCCAGCCCTGCCCTGCTCTGGCAAGGGCCCTCTCACCCCCACACCCAGCATGTTGTGACCAAGGCCTGGAGCTTTGTCCCCTGTCCAGAACATGTGTCCTTCTGCCCTTTTCACCTTTGTACTGCCCTGTCCTGGGCCCTTTTACCTACTCCGCGTCTCCTCCACCATGGTCCTCTTGCCCCTTCTGCCAAGTCTAAGAGACACACTCCAATATGACAAAAAAGCCCAACCCAGTGGATTTTGTGGGACTGAATCTTGACGCATGGTGTCATGACTCCTGCTTTCCAAGGCCTGATCCGTCCCCCACTTCAGCTGCCCACAAATACCTGAGGCCTCATCTCCCTCTCAGGCACCCTCTCCCTACCCTCAGGGGGTCAGAGGGGCAGGGCCTATGGCGGGGGGTGGTATGCGAAGACCTCTGGGTGCAGAGTGAGACTGTCAGCCTCCTCCACCAGGGGAGAGGGCCCCTCCTTCACAGAAGGTGATGGGGGAGCAGCAGGCAGGAGGCAGGAAGGGAAGAGAGCTGCCTGTCACCTTGGCTGGGCAGTGCCCAGGGAGCTTCCTAGCCTTCTCCCCTCGGTGCAAGGAGACAGTGATGATGTCACACTTCTTTGCACATGAACCTGGTTGCCAGGGCCAAATGTCACTGACCCGTACCTCTGGCACCCCTGCCCTGGTTGGCTGCGGAGGACTGAAGTGCAGCCTCTGCACAGCCTTTGGGCAGGGTGAGGGTCTTATGTGACGGGCGTTGGCCTTAAAGCCAGAGCAGGGTCTAGGGCCCCTGCTGGGCTGGCCATTGGCCTTTTTGTTGTTGGGACATGGGCAGGTCCAAAGGATCCAAGAGGAGGGTCTGGGGTCCCTGAGATGGGGAGCACTTAGAGGCAGAGGCCAGCTCCTAGTGTTTCAGTATTTTCACAAGTAGCGTGGTCCTTCCTGTAAACCTGCAGGGCCCACCAGTTAGAAGTTTCTGGCTCAGATGACCATGAGCCCTGGGGCTCCTATAACTGCCCCAATTTACGTCCCAGAGCCAGGCTAGGCCCAGGCATGGACAGGGATGGGCTGGTGCCGGGAGTGCCTGCTGCCCAGCCTGGGCCTTTTGGCCATCCTGGCCATAAGAACAGCTGATCTGGGAGCCACCGGGGCACTCTGTTGCATCAGTGGAACTGCTCTGGCTTAGAGGGCAGGAGAGCTGACCCTGGCCACCAGCATTTGACCAACTGAGCTTGTCTGGTAACTCACAGCTGCCAGATGATGGGCCTGAAGCTCCTCACCTGGCTGTAGGGAGGACTACACACTTTGTGGGGTCAGTGCAGGTGAAAGCATGGGTGCTTGTTCAGAGATCATTGAGAATGTGAAGACAATGACAGCAGAGCATCAAACCAGTCTTGTGACTTTTCTCTGCCTGGGGCCCTGGGGACTACACATGCCAAATGCCCCTGAAGCCAGCCCTGGCTGGCTCTAGGGCTTGATTGAAAACAAATCAGATTTGCTTAATTGATCCAAAAATATTGATCAGGAAGTACATTCCCAGTAACAAGTTTCTCACCTCCTGAAGTGGTAATTTGGGTGCACCACGGGAGGGGGCATTTGCAAATTTTTTACTGTGTCTTTAAACAGTTTATTTTTCAAAATAGGGAGTTGGTTGGGGGTTTTCTTATACTGTTTTGAGTTTTAAGTTTCTTTCAACTTTTTACTTTTCAAAGCATCAAACCTGCAAAAAGTTGCAAGAATGATATAGTTTCTTAAAATCTCTAAAACATTTTGAGTGCTTACATAATTCTAAAAACTTTGGCCCCAGATCTAAGCAAATAACTGTTAAAAACAAATCAATAAATAATTAATAGTTTCCACTAGATAGATAATAGACAAGAATTATCTTAGGTGAAGGGAAGGACAACACACACTTCAGGGGAAGTCGGCACAACTGGACCAAATCAAAGCTAAGAAGTTTCCTGAATACAACCAAACACTTAGAGGGACAGAGTAGCAGGGGCATGGTCTGGGGACCATGGTTTCAGGGGACATCTAGGTCAATTGGCATGACAAAGTTTATTAAGAAAATGTTCTGCATCCTACTTTGGTGAGTGGCGTCTGGGGTCTTAAAAGCTCACAAGCAGCCATCTAAGATGCATCAATTGGTCCCAACCCACCTGGAGCAAAGGAGAATAAAGAACACCAAAGACACAAGGAAAGTATTAGCCCAAGAGACAGAAAGGGCCAAATAAACCAGAGACTTCATCAGCCTGAGACCAGAAGAACTAGATGGTACTCAGCTACCAGTAATGACCTCCCTGACGGGGAACACAACAGAGAGTCCCTGATGGAGCAGGAGAAAAGTGGGGTACAGAACTCAAATTCTAGTAAAAAGACCAGACTTAATGGTTTGGTTGAGACTAGAGGGACCTCGGAAGACATAATCCCCAGACTATGTTAGCCCAAAACTAAAACCATTCCCGAGGCTAACTCTTCAGACAAATATTAGACGGGACTACGAGACATAAAGTGATCCTCGTGAAGAGTGTGCTTCTCAGCTAAAGTAGATACATGAGACTAAATGGGTAGCTCCTGTCCAGAGGCGAGCTGAGAAGGCACAGAGGGTCAGGAGCTGGTTGAATGGACACCGGAAATCCGGGGTGGAAAGGAGGAGTGTGCTGTCAAAGTATAGGGAGAACAACTAGGGTCACATAACAATGTATCTGTAAATTTTTGTATGAGAGACTAACTTAGATTGTACACTTTCACTTAAAGCACAGCAATAAAAAAAAAATTAATTGTTCCAACTACCAGCTCATGTTTCTTCTGTCAGTTTCTGCAGGAAACACTTCTGGAACAAACATTTCTGAATCCACCACACCTTCTACCACCTTAACACATGCAAGCTCACCTTTCACAACTAATGTTGACACTACCACACCTGTATCAACTCTTACCGCAGGAGACACATCTGCAACAACTAACACAGACACCCCCATAACAGAAACCACTATTTCTGAGACCACCGCAACTGCTGGGACTACTGTTGACATGGCCAGAACTCTGTCAACTTTTGCAGGAGATACTTCTGCAACAACTGATACTGACACCACAACATCGACAACCACTCCTATAGAAACCACCCCAAGTGCTAGCACTATTGGCATCACCACTATATCTGATTCAACTTTTTCAGGAGGCACTTCTCCAACAACTGTTCCAGACATCACTACACCTCAGATCACTTCTAATGACACAGACTCACCTTCGACAACTGTTGCTGACACCACCATATCTGTGTCAACTCCTACAGCAAGAGACACTTCTGCTACAACTGACACCCACTCCACCACCCCAACTACCACTCCTGCTGAGACCACCACTCTTGCTACCACTATTGCTGACACCAACATATCTGAATCAACTTCTGCAGGAGGCACTTCTACAACAACTATTCCTGATACCACCACACTTCAGGTCACCTCTAGTGATGCAAGCTCAACCTTTACCACTATTGTGGACACCACCATATCTCTGTCAACTCCTACAGCAGGAGACTCATCTGCAACAACTAATACCGACACCTTCGGAACATCAACCACTCCTTCTGATACCACCACAACTACTATGACTATTGTTGACACCACCACGTCTCTGTCAACTTCTGCAGGACATACTTCTGCAGCAAGTGATAAGGACATCATAACACCAGCAACCACTCCTTCTCAGGCCACCACACCTGCTACCACTCTTGGTGACACCAGTATTTCTGTGTCAACTTCTGCAGGAGGCATTTCTGCAACAACT